AAACAAAAAAAATTTAAACAGAAAAAGGCTTTAAAACTGATAAAAAATATATCTGAAACTACTTTTCATAAACCACTTTAAAGATGTATTCAGGAACCATAGGAACTTCAAAACATCATCAATGATCTATGTAATTTTGTTCTATATATAATTGGTATATAAAAATAGTGTGCTTCATGTTTTCATCATTCAGGACCAAACCTTGAGGGTCGGGGCTCCTTGTATTAAATAAAACAGCTTCGAGTCATATTTTACTAAGTTTAGGTGAGTTTTGGTGCTTGAAAAGTTTGTAATTTCTAGATTGAAAAATGTTTCGTTTCTGGGGCCCATTGTAAAATGTTTTCATTAATCTTTCATAGAACATCACCTTTTGTCATGATTTTGCCACACTGGTGGCTGAACAAATTGCTAATTTCATTCACCTGCATAACTGTGCCCGGTTTCCAATTTCCACTCATCTAATCCACCTGCTTCTGCTTCTATCTATAGGGTTCAGTCCCAGCCATCAGGTCCAGATTATTGAGGTTGAGATCATTGCTGATGCTCTTGATTATCATGTTCTCATTGGCCAGTGGTCGGAGTGTTTCTTAGTGCTTTCGTGGTGTTCCTGTTATCCTGACCTGTTCTGCCTCTCAACCACTTAGCTTGCCTGTTCCCCTATGAATGTTCCTCCTGAACTCTCTGTGGACTCCTGAAACCCTGAACCAGCCTGTTCTTGTTCTGATTGGTATCCCTGACCGGGCTCCGGACTCCTGGACCTCTGAGCCTTCCTGTCCTGATCTAGTTGGCAGCCCTCTGGCTGGATCCTACCATGTTCTATTGAGATGGACTGAACAGATAATCAGGTAGGTGACTCACATGGAGGATGGTGTTTTTCCCCAACCAGAGTTTCCAACGATGGGCTTTGCCCCGCTGCAGATCCTCCTGAGAATTTAAAATAAATGCTTTGAATTCTCCCACTGTCTGTCAAGCTTTGAATTGTGGGTTCTACGTTTTGAGCTTTTGACACCTTTTGTGCATACAAAGTTGTGCTTAAAACCATTAGCCTCAGGCCCAGTTCGTACATGAGGGCCCAGAACCACATTTTTACAATCCACAAAGCTTTCTGAGGTTTCTAAGGTTCCTCCAGGGTTCTTTTGTTTTTCATCGATACTGAAGATGTTGCAGGTTGGACTGAACCCGTGTTAGAAGCTGGTCACTAAAGCTGCATAAATGATAAAGAGCTGCAGAACGAAGATGAGCTGATCCAGTTTTAGAAATCCAAACAATCAGAACCTTAATTCAAAATGTAACCGTTTTAAAGCCAAACCAATTATATTTATCATTATAAATAATGATTTGGGATGTTTTGACATTCTGGTTACCAGCACCAGGGTTTCCTGATGGAACCAGTTCCACTGGGAGGTGACTGGACCACAGTAGGGATTCAACAGGAATCTGCCAGAGATCAGGCCAGTACCAATTTCTGCTTCTGGATCCATTCACCTTCATGTTAAACAGTAAGTCTTCTTTTAAAAGATGACACTGTGCAGTAGTTCCAGTTCTGTTTTTCTTTGGTAAAAGACAAAGATCCTTCAGCTTTTTCTATGTCCAAAAATGATCGGATCAGATCATCCTGCCTAAAACAGCCTTTTCTGACTGTACCTAAACACACCGTTAATCTAAGAGTCAGAAGTTGTACCGGGTGGATTTACCACTTCCTGCTGATGCCGGTTCTTCCATTAACCCAGTCAGAAACTGGGCCAGGAGAACGCTCTGCCTCCTGATGAGGACAACAGACCGGAGGAGATGAACAGAACTAGACTGGGTCATTGAGCCTGCTGTTAGACTGACAGGACAGAACTTTACTGGAGAGGAAACCTTTCCTGAAACTTTTTCAGAAGAAACTCTGAAAAGTCTCAGCTGATGATCGACCACCAGCTGCAGCATGAAGCAGATCAGTACCTGAACCAAAACCAGAATCAAGTTGGACTGGGAGATCTGTAGATGCTCAATCAGCTTATTTCAGTTTCCCATGTCTCCTGTAAGACTTGTGAACACCTTCTGATCATTTAACATTTATTTATTTGCTGTTCACAGCTTCATCCAGATGCAGGACAGGAAAATGATATCATTTATGATAGCAAACATCAGACTACTGTGGAGAAGATGAAACTGTAGGAGATATTTAACTCTTCTGAGAGAAATAGACTAGAACAAATTAAACTAAAAAAGTTTCCATCCACAGATTTTTGAGATGAAATCCCAACAATAGGATTATACTGTATAAGATTAAATGGAGTTTTGTTTGCAAAACTGGCAATAAAATACAAAAAGGAAAAAGCCTAATGGAGATAATGTGGCTGGTTTTAGTAAATGAACTGGAACCTCAATCCTATCTGCCACATCATTTTTTTGGTTCAGTATATCTACAGGATCTTGTTTCTTGTTATGTGTTTGTATTTGACAGTTGCAACAGTTTTCTCGGTTGAAGGCCTTTGCCCTGCAACCAGAGGGTTGTCGGTTCAAACCCTGGCTCTGGTTTTCAGGGTTGTTGTGTCCATGGGCAAGACTTCATCTGTCATTGAGCCCCCGGGCAGGACCAGATATTTAGTGGAATCCTCTATTCTGAGCTGATCCACTTTCTAGTCTTTTTTTTTTTTTTGGGACTGTGTTTTTCCTGGAAACTTGTCTAAAGTGTTTGAAGAGCTCAAGGAGGAAGCCTCTGAGTTTCAGATCAGAGCTGGTCTCTCTGAGGGGCATGAGTTATTAGTTTGACTTCCAGACAGACAGAGAGAAACATGACTGAAACACCACAAGTCCTGAACTCTGTCAGCCCACTTCCTGTCTGCCCTCCCTCTCTCTCTGCAGCTTCAGGACAGCCTCTCTCGTTCACTGCTCCCTGTTTTCAGAGCATTGCAGCCAGATGTGCGGAGGAAGCAGTGAGCTACTGAGCTGTTTTGAAGAAGATCGTTCTGAGTAGAAGGAGGTGAACAAAAGCAGCAACAGCTTCAGGTAAGTTATGCTATCTTCTAAAGCAGCTCCTTTATCTTCTGATTGTTTGGATCATGAAGCTCTTAGAGTGAGTCTGTCAGATTCACTGGCTGATCTAATGATCTTGGAAAGTTTCACTGCAGCTGCAAACTGACCTCAGCTCCAACAGATTAGTCTCATCCTGCGGCCAGAATGTAGAGTTACTGAAAGTCACTGTGAAAAGGAGAAAGGAGGATTAAATAAAATGTGGCTGAGACAGATGATTCCAATCCAGATTGAGTCCTGAAGCTGGATTCATGAGGCAATGAGGAGAAAAGATGTTTAGAAGATATTTAGTTTGACACCCAAAGTACAAAAAGTCACCAGACAGATTAAAATCAAAGTTCCTCATAGAAAGATCAGGAGAGACTTCTAATTTCATGCCTCTATTAATTAGAATATTCTGAAACTATCCGAGGACTCTGGAGTCCTGACCGCTGGGATCTGTGATTCTTCAGGCAGGAAGGTTTCCTCATGTTCAGCTCAGAGGAGTGGTTAGCCCCTCTGGGTTTACAGACCTGTAGGATGGATCAGGTGGAGCAGTTCTCCAGATATTTGTTAAAAAAAGGAGCATCCAGTCTCTGCAAACAGCCTCTTTCATGGTGGGAGTTTGTTTTATGATACATAACTTTTTCTTCAGCTTTACCGAGCTGAGGAGATGATGTTTTTAAACTCCTCTACTGTGTTTGCACGGTGATGGTGAAAAGTGGAGGACATTATGCTTAACATTTGTAAGATGATCAAAAAATACATTCTAGGTTTTAGCATGGTAGATAGAGAAGACTTTAGAGAGTTAGTCCGCTTCATAGAGCCGTGCTTTAACTTTCTTCAGAGCAGCCAAACCCACTGCGTCCTGCTGCTAACAGCACAAAGTCTCCTTCAGTTCTTTAATCTCTGCAGAACTTTAACATTGTTAGCATCCATTTAATTGAACAAATTAGGAAATCAGCTCTTTAGGAAAATTGCTGCTTATGAATTAATCGTTAGTCGACCAATGAGACCAATCAATTTAGAGTCATTCATGAACCAATAACCTGAAGGTCTAATTGACTTTTTTTTTTTATGTAAATGAAGGAAGAAAACGTAATATCGACATCAAGAATCTCCTCCAAATAATTGGTACCCATATCAGGTAACATATCAGGGATCTGTTCGACCGATGTCGAATTGATCTGTATCGGCGTCGGCCTTGAAAATCCTTTATCAGTCCATCATTATTGGAAATGTTCCTAAAAAGTTCCTTAAACTCCAAGCTCTATTTTTTTACATGTTTCTCTTCAGCGTAGAGAGAATTAGTTTCTCTAAGAGCTCCAGTCAGTGAACCAATAAGAAGAGCGGGAACTAAGGTTTCCACACAGGTCAAAGATCAGGCCGGTTTTATCTCCTCGTCCAGCTGGTTGCTTCATCCTGCTGACCTGGTCAGGACCGCGGGGGGTAGGGCTGGAAGCTGGGCGGATGTTTTCTGACACTTTGTTGTCAGAGCTGAATGTGATCTGAGGTGAACGAACTGAAACTTTCTGCTGCGGCTGTGAAGATTCTTTATGTCCAGCTTGTTGATCAGAGGATTACTAATTGAGAGGAGCTGAACCTGAGTGGGTCGGACCTCCTTCTGCTGCCAGTATTTCTACACGTTTAGTTTCTGTTGGTGTTTTAGGGGTCAGAGGTCAGTCTCCAGCTGTGGGTGTCGTGGTTTCTAAAGATCAGCTTCATTTTTTGTTCTGAGTTCAGTTTCAGCGGTTTCTCCTTCTTCTAAACCTTCTTTAGAACCAGGAAGTCCTGCTGCTTTCTGCTTCCTACCGAACCGGTGAAATGTGACTCTGTTGGTGCAGGTGCCAGTCCTGCTGGATTAAGGACATTCAAACTGAGAACCGACATGCAAGATGGAACTATTTCATGATACGGGACGAAGTTTAAATCACGCTCTGTTCATCAGATCTTCTAGCAAACACTAGCAGCTTCAGACAGACCACAGTGACCCGAATCTTCATGAACCAAAAGGACTTTAGCCAAAAGGCAACAGAATCTCCAGTTGGGTGTGCAGATCCTTGTGCTGTATAGTGCAGGGTAAGGGTTTTGTGCACCTGAGGCCGCTGCCGGATTGTTGTTCCCTTTGCTTCTGGTCCTTCCTGCCTTGGTGAGTTCCCACCTTAGCCTTAGAGATGTTTTCCCTCCTTCAGGCTGCATGGAATCACTCTAAAGCCTGAACCGAGATGTTTCTTCATGTTCTCCCTCCAGGTCCAAGGTGACGATAAAGTTCTGAAGTTTCTCAGCTAGCCCCGTAAAAGTGGACCCATGGCTTCTCTGGCTCTAGTTGTGCTCCTCATCCTCGGGGTTCCCATCAGCTCCGGCTCTGTGGTGCAGGTGAACTCAGGCGTGCAGGTCCTCAGAGGTGGATCGGTTTCCATCAGTGAGTCAGTTCTAAAAATCCGCGTGGATCCGAACTCTAACTGTAAGGTGGAGGTGGTTTTGAACGAGCCGGTGACCCAGAGGGTGGGGAAGTTGACTCCACAGGTGAGGGGAGCATAACTTAGTGGGCCAACTGGGAATAGTGTAGTGGATTTACTGGGTTTCTGCTCTGCAGATGTTTGATTGCAGTTTCCTGAAGGACGAGGTCCAATATGTCCACAACGGGAGTCCTCTGCTGGATAATGACACGGTGCTGCTCCGAGTGTACAGGTAGGACCTTACTCTGAGCGGAACCAAGCAGACTTCTGTGGAACCCGAACCCAGTCCTGTTTTTCTCTCTAAGACTGTCTGGTTTCCCTCTTCAGATTCACAGCCTTAGAAACGCAGGTGGAGATGGTGGTCCTCCAGGTCCGGGTGGTGGATGAGGGATCCGGTGTGGTGCAGCAAGGCAGCACTCCATTGGTGGTTTCTGGGTTCTTTGGTTTGTCCAACCCCATCAACAGCACTGTTCTGAGCATCAGGGTTCCAGAGGACCTGGTCTGCACCATTAGGCTGATGACCGCAGAGACCCAGTTTCCCATGGCGGGTCGGCTGGTCCGTGAGGAGGACTCGGTGCTCCGCAGAGGTTCGGCAAACCTGAATAGACCTTCCGTGTTTCTGACCTTCATCCTATTGACATGTCAGATCTGAGTTTTTATTGTTTTTCATAAAAGAAGCTTAGAACAGAACAAACCAGAACTTATGGAGAAATAAGTTGATGTTCCTCTTCTCCTGCAGGCCGTCAGGTGGAGGACTTCTGCCCTGGAAACCAGCCGTGTCTCCACCATGTCACTGAGGTCCGGTTCCTTAAAACCAGCTGCCAGGACTTCCTGAGCTCTGGCCTGAAGTACCAGCACCTCAGTCCTCCATCCCCCAGAACCGATTATCTTCCAATCCGGGTGGAGCTAAGGGAGCAGGGGACGAGGAAGCTGCTGGAGGTAAGGCAAAGGGAACCATGCAGATGTTTGATCCTCCCGGACAGACACATGTGAACCGATCCTCACACACAGTGCTGATTTCCACACACTTCAGGACGTCACAGATTTTACTGCTCCCTCTCTCTTAGTCACAAGCCTTTTGGCTGCCGGTTCTGATCAATGGAGCTGTACCAAATCAGCCCCCAAAGGCCAGCTTTATGGCCTCCTTCATCCTGGAGGTGGACCTGTTCATCCTTACCCCCTTCAGTACCGCAGCACTGGATGCCACAGACTCGGAAACACCGCAGAACCAGCTGGTCTTTAACGTGATGGTGCCTCCAGCGGACGGATACATCACACACCTAGAGGACCACACCAAACCCATCCGGTCCTTCACCTGGCTGGACCTGCATGACATGAAGGTGGCCTACCAGCCGCCAAACAGCAGCCAGAGCATCCGCCAGAACCTCCAGGTACCATCCAGGTTCAGACAGCAGTGCCTGGTTCTGTCAGTAAGAACCAACACTCTGACAAATGTCGGCATGCAGCAAATCAGGTTCTGGTTCTGATCAGAATAAACAAACTGTTTGGGGTTTTGAATCAGCACCTTAGAACTGAGACAAAAATCTGTGTCCTCTTTAGGTTGAGTTCCAGGCGATAGATGGATCCTTCATGAACAGCCCACCTTTCCTGGTCCACCTGTCCATTAGGGCGTCCGAAACAAACGCACCCAGAGTCTCGTGGAACATGGGTATGTTTGATTTTCCCTCAGCATCGATAAAAACTGCAATTTCTGACACCCGACCGGACGTGTCCCCCTCAGGTCTGAACCTTCTGGAGGGTCAGTCCCGACCAATCACATGGGAGCAGCTGCAGATCGTGGATAAGGACAACATTGATGCCGTTTACCTGGTGGCTGTGGACGGACCGGTGCACGGGCGGCTCAGTGTCAGAGGTGAGGGGCCAGAGGTCAGGGGCTGCTGCATTCAAGACAGCTGGGAAATCTTCACACCTTTCATAATCTGACCAATCAGGAAGCGAAGCAGCTTTATGAACTTTGACCTCTGCCCACCTTTATTTTTATTAACATTTGACATTTTTGAAAAGTCCCAACTGGGGATTTGCTGAGTCTCTCTCTCAACACCCTGATTCTGATTCCAAGCTGGTATCAGAATCAGGGTGTTTACAACAACCGCTCTCTAATCTGGATTTGGATAAACTCCCAGGATTTAGAAATGATAGATAAATGGATTTCAGTGGGTTAAGTTAACAGGTCCATTTACAGCTATATGCATCAGAACCAACATTCCTGCAAATAACCCCCCACCCCCTCAGCCCTGGTTTCTCCTCCTCGCGACCCTCTTACCTCCATCATCTTCTCTCCTTTAGCAGCATATGTCCCCTGTCCCTGCACGTGTTTTTTAATCAGGTGTAAAATGGGGCCGGGGTCACTTTGCCAGGGGCCACCTCTGACCCCCCCGTCCCCCTCCTGTCCATGTCTGTCCCTTCCACCCCGCTGCCACTGTTTGGAACAGCAGATTGAAGCCACGGATGGCTTTTCATGGCACCGTGCACACAGAGCAGCTGCATCGTCTCTTTCACCCCCCACCAAAAACACACACAGCCACACACACATACTGTGTTCCCGACATACCTTATTACAAACAATACATTGTTTTGACTTTAACTCTTTTTCAGTCGTTTCTATGACTTAAAGTTGAATTTCTCCAGTCCCTAAAAATGTCAGGACCAAAAAATGTCAAAGTCCTCACTTTACTAGTAGAATATAAAAAAAACATGTTGAAACTAATCTCTAAGGACAGTAAACACACATATATATTCTATGTGTTCCTATACTTATGTAAACCTTGCATTGACTTCCATTTGTTTCTAACCTGAATTTGTTCCCCAAACGTCTGGGCCTCATCAGAACCTGTGGGTCCTCACAATGCAATAAATGTGGAAAGTCCCCACTCTCACACCAAAACACCCACACACACACAATGAAGAGCTTCGATGGGTGTGTGTGTGGGGTGGGGGTGTTTGGGGGTCCTTATCAGATGAAACAACACGGCTGGCAGATTCCAGAACGATCACAGTCATAACGATCACAGATCACATGGACATTTTGTGACGCATGTGACCCAGAGGGACCTTTGATCTCTCAGGGGGCGGAGCTGGAAAGTTCTCCTTAACCTGGATGCTTTTTGGCTTGATCAAGTTCTGTTTATACCAGAGGGGTCTGTAATGGATCCCCAGGAAGGAACCAGGCTGAACCAGGAACTACTTGGATCAGGACCTAAAGCTACAATTCTGCTTTCAGTTAAGATTTGATCTATAAACGCTGCTTCCCCTGGGATGAGGATGTATGGGTTACCTGGACAATTTCACTCTCAGACCAGATCAAGAACCAGTCCTGGAGATAAGTTCCAAACCTGGTGGATTTAAGGTTTCGATGCTAAACCTTAAATCCACTCTCAGGAGAGCAGGAACCCGATCAGAACAAAACTGACTCCAACATCTGGTTCCAGAATCAGATCTTTATCTAGTTCTGAGCTGCTGTTCCCGCTGCAGTCGATGCAGCAAAATGTCTATCGTGAATCCTTTAGAACATCTGAGAAATGTAGTTCTTCCTCCTCTTTCTCAGCTTTGGATGCTGTGTGTCCTCCAGGAGGCTGAGCGTTTCCAGGATGCTAAGCATCCTCCAGGAGGCTGTGTGTCCTCCAGGAAGCTGCAGTCGATGCAGCAGAACCTCTATGATTAATACTTTAGAACATCTTAGCAATGTAGTTCAACTCCTCTTTCTCAGCTTTGGATGTTGTGCGTCCTCCAGGAGGCTGAGCGTCCTCCATGAGGCTGAGCATCCTCCAGGAGGCTGTGCGTCCTCCAGGATGCTGAGCGTCCTCCATGAGGCTGTGTGTCCTCCAGGATGCTGAGCGTCCTCCATGAGGCTGTGTGTCCTCCAGGAAGCTGCAATAGATGCTGAGTCTCTGAGGAGCAGGCTGACCCTCAGAGCGTCAGCCCTGGACAGTCACTGCCGGCCCATTCAGCGCCTACAGCCAAATGGACGACTGCCCGTCTCTCTCTTTCTCTCTCCCTCCGTGTTCCGTTTCTGCCAGTTTGGGCCTGCTGCCCAACGCCACCTTTGGGCCCAATTACTGAGTTGTTTCCATCTCTGGGATGGAGAGCCGGTTCCCCTCGGTACTCTCTCTAATGAGGTTCGGGCTTGCGACCGTTCGTCTCTCAATCTGTCGGCTGACCTTGGCCTTCTGTCTCCCTGGCACAGGAAGGCAGGAAGTCCCCGTCCTCGGAAAGGATGCCATGGCGTGGCCCAGCGGTGTTCTCACCCCGTCGTGCCTTCAGGCGGCGACACAAACCCGGTCGTTCTCAGTGACGGTGGCAGCAGAGGAGGGCGGGAGCTGGAGATGATAATTAAATCAAAGTGTGAGGTTCCGACTGGAAGCGGTCCACCGACAGCCGCTCGGGTTGGCTGATGGTGCCGCTCTAACAGATGGACGCGAAGACACTTACTTCATGTAGGACAAACAACTTTTTCATGTACTGAGCAGCAGGAGATAAAGAACTGGTCCAAATGTTTGGGGTTTTTTTTGTTTTTTTTACGCTGGCAGAGCTTCATTAGAAACAGATCTGCATTTTTTAAAGCAGCTGAAGAACCGGACCTAAAGGTCAAACATCAGGAGGGTCACAGCCATGGTTCACCTGGTTCTCCTTTAGTCCCCCCCTAGATCCTCTCTTCTTTTCCACTGGTTCCCCTATAGCTTTATACTGGTACTCCTCTGGTTCTCCTCTGGTTCTATTCAGGTTCTCCTAGACAGACTTATCAATAATGACTTCCTGTTGTGATTCTTCCTGTTTTTGTCATGTCATTGGAAGCTGGTATTACTCATCTTGACTGGTTCTGTTGAAAATGGGTCATCTGAGCATTAATGTCCGTCATCCTGTGTGGTTCAGGAACAAAACCATAGATCCAGTTCTTGGATTGTTTAATTGTTTAATGGACCGCACCGGATCTGACTGCAGCCGATATGAAGCCTCACAGCCTGCAGCGCTGTTATCAAGCAACATTTGGATTTAATGCATAAAACATCAGCAAAACGACAAGAGGGGAATTTTATGAATAGATTAGAGCCCCAGGAAAAAAAATATGCAAAATATTAATTTTAAACAAAGAAGCATATTGTGTTGATTTAGAATTAAACATAGAACAGAATAGAATGAAGCAGAACCGAGTGAAACCAAACTGGACAGAACAGGAAAGAACTGAATGGAGCAGAAATAGAACAGAACTAAATAGAAACGTTTACAAAGTGTGGGAGTGGATTTCACAATCATAGGAATGTGATCCCTGAGTTATGTGGGGACCCAAAATATGATGTCAATTTTATAACTGTAAATGTAGCATGAAAAAAGAAGGTGTATCAGTTCTTTAATGATTTACTACTGATTAATCGGACTAGTGAGCCCCTAAAAAATATATATGATTTCACTCTATATTTATTCATACATATAAATTAAAGTATTTACATTTTCTTTTATAAATCGTTTCATTTTTTAATACATCGTTGGAAATTTATTTTTTATTTAATGGGATGTTGAATTACTTAGTTGTTCATTTTATAATTTGATGGTATATCCATCCATCCATCTTCTCCTGCTTAGTCCTTGTCAGGGTCACGGTGGGGCCGGTTTCTATTTCTGGCAGTCTATGGGGGAGAGGCGGGGTACACCCCAGACAGGTCAACAGTCTGTCGCAGCAATTTAATGCTATAATCATTTAGAAAAATGCAACATTTGAATCATTTATTTAACAAATAAATACATTAATATTAGACCTTTTTCTTTTAAAGTGAATTTAATTTATTGGACATCCAAGTGTATGTATTTTTATGTCATATTTTGGCCCTTCCATACACCTCAGGGATCACATCACCATGATGTAAAAAAACGTCTCCTGTCCCCCCAGTGGGTGTCTCTCAAACCCAGTTTTTAATGAAGCCTAGACAGAAGTCCAACTGAATAAACTGGATCACTTACCCTCATGCAATCAGAGGCTCACCCACCTGTGAATCATCCAATCAGCATCCATCCGCACCTCCTCGTAAACCAATCAGCCTTCAGAGCTCAGTTTCAAATTCTTTGATATCACAGCTCAGCCTGCAACCCAACAAGCATCAGAGTTTGATTACATGTTAGACTTTGATTCTTAATACCCTGATTTAACCCTCCTCCATCATTTTTCTCCTCCATCCTGACAAGCTCCATCTGGCTCCTTCTCTAAGCTGCTGTCTTTCCCCTCTAAAGTAAAACCTTAGACTCATGCTGCATCCTCAGCCGGTCTGGAGGAAGGCCCCCATGTTTAGCCTTCTGCCAGAGATTTCTTTTCAAGGGTAGTTTTTTCTCTCTACTGTCACTTTATGCTTGCTTATCGTGGAGGTTCATACGAACCTGCGCCTTGTTACAGCTGGCATCCATCTTCATACCATCTCCATTCCACCACCATTTTCAGCCCGGGTGACTTCATTTAGAAGCTCATGAAAGTGATCAATGTAAATTTCAATGTTAATGTTTGCCGCCAAAGCCTGAGCACCAAAGACTTAAAATATTCTTTCAATTTTCAAATTTTCAAAACTCTACCTACTTTTGTGAGTTTTTCAGGTTGAAATGTAAGGCAGCTCATAGAAATCTTTTCGTTGGGTCTGCTGACTCTCGACCTCGTTTTGGACTAGCATTAGATTATGAGTCAGAGTTCCCGCATAATGAGCCGTTTCTTTTTTTTTTTTTTTTCCACAATAAGACATTAGTAAAAGATATGAATTAAAGCCTGCATAATTTTATTGCATTTTATATTTAAACATGTTTGTTTTGCCCAGCATTTTGACCAGAGCATTCTCTTTAGAACCCAGATGTATTCTCTTAGTTGAATTCAGTGGAACATAGCTCCTTCTCAACCGTCCAGTTCCAGGCCACAGAAGCATTTTTTCACAACATAAAAAATAAATATGAGTTTAGATCTTTTAATCCTGTAGGTAAACTGGTGGTTCTGCCCAGATGATGGGTCATAACCAGCCGCTAGAACTCCCAGACCTGGTCTTTAACATCAGAAAGAAATAACTTGAAATCCATGGGCAGAGACGGAGAATCTGGTCTTTAATGGACTTGTTAGCCAGCCTGCAGTCTACTGCTTTGCACACCTGTTACCAGGCCAATTGTTCCTTCTCCCTGGTGGAACCAGAGCTGGAACCAGTCGGATCCCTGATGGTCTGATCTCTGCTCTCCCACAGGTGGGAAAGCCTTCATGTTTCGTGTGCGGGACCTGAAGGAGGGTGTGGTCATCTACCACCACTCTGACAGTGACTCCACCCGTGACCACATTGTGTTCCGCATCAGCGACGGCCGTCACAGCATCCGACACAAGTTCCCCATCAATATCCTGCCCAAAGACGACTCCCCACCCTTCCTCATCAACAACGTGGCGGTGGAGGTGCAGGAAGGCGGGACGGTGCAGCTGCAGGAATACATGCTGCTGGCCTCCGACCTGGACTCCAGCGATGACTTCATCCTGTACCAGATAGTGTCCTCCCCCCGTGCAGGCCAGCTGGTGAGGAAAAGCTCCACCCAGGAGACAGGTGAGGCTGAGGAGCCATGTGATTGTCCGCCAGGAGGTGTAATAACCACTTTGGTCCACTAAGAAAACTCTGGCATTTTTACTGTTTGGCTCCTAAATGTCACAAACTCAGGTTTTATTTGGCCTGTCTATTTACACATGATGGTCAAGGTCACATGACAGCCTGTTTTCCAGTGTAGTCCTGTTTCTCTGACTCTGACTGGCTGGATGTGCTCTCTTCATCCTCTGGCATGGGAGTTGGCTCAGAGCTCGTCTGCCTGGCTGTGTATTTCCTGGATGGGGACCCCTTTTACTTTTGTTTTTTGTATCTCTGCTTCTGTCTCCTTGAACCCCAGTCGGCGTCAGCAGATGGCGGCTCACCCTGAGCCTGGTTCTACTTGAGGTTATTTTCTGTTAAAACTTAGTTTTTCCTCTCCACTGTTGCTACAAGCATGCATGGTATGAGAGATTGCTGAAGACTCAATGAGTCGATGCAATCAACTGATTTTCCTTAGATAGAAAACTTTGAATCAATTCAAAAGCTATATAAATAAACTGCATTGAATTCCTTCAAGTAGAAAAAAGGAAAATGGCCGACAGTCCATTAATTGATTAGGAAAATACATTATAGACAAAGCACCTGCCTTTAGATTAGTTTAAAGACATTTTTAGCCAAAGAATGTGTAATATTTTCTAAATCTTGCTTCAGGGATGTTAGACAGTCTTTGCTATAAGATCTTCCATATCAGCTAAAGCTGTGATCAACACTTCTGCAAAAAGAGCCAATTTTCATCACCAGTATGCAAATGTAACATTATTACTGCTTTATCTAATATGACATTACATCATAATGCTTTTGATGCATCAGTTTCCAATTAATTAGTGCTTGTGTGACAGTGTCATGTTTGGTTTATATGACATATAATTGTAACATTGGTAGATAAATCTCCCTGAAAAGCCCTGATTTAAAAACACAGAGTTCTGGAGCTTGGCCTCTTTTTTAGAGTAGTCCTGTTTCTCTTAATGTGACTAACTGTATGTGCTCTCTTTCCTCCTCTGACGTGGGAAATGGCTTTGAACTCTGCCTGGCTGTGTGTTTCCTGCATAGGGCTGCATGTCGAGCTGGTTGACAGTTGCCTTTTGTATCTCTGCTTCTTTCTGTATGTCTTCTTTTGTCTCCTTGAACCCCAGTCAGCCTCAGCATATGGCCGCTCACACTGAGCTTGGGTCTGCTGGAGGTTTCTTCCTGTTAAAAGGGAGTTTTTCCTCTCCACTGTCGCTGCATGTATGCTTGGTATGAGGGATTGCGGAAGATTTAATGAGTCAATGCAATCAGCTGGTTTTCCTTAGATGGAAAACTTTAAACCAATCTGGTTGGATTGTCTCTATAAAGTACCTTCAGATGAGATATGTTGGGAAATCGCTCTATATATAAACTGATTTGAAATGTATTGAACTCTGACAGTTAGTTTGTACCATGATTGTGTTAAGGGTTAAATTCTTCAGATTCATTTCTGTTTTAAGTCATTTTTCAATGTGCATCTTTGAGGTTCTGCTGCCCGTGTTATGCGGGCTGCCAAGTTTCTATCTATGTGTTGATATAACGGCTTGAAAAGCAGTAAGACTTACTCTCCAACAGCTATAATTTTGATTTATAATAAAAACATCAGTGTTTTTCTGTTTGATATAGGACGAACCGTGAGAGTTCCTGTTATTACCTTGTTAGGATAACCTTGTGTTTCGGGCTTGTGTGGAGAAAGCTGCAGCTTTAGACTTTTTAGGAGAGCCAGATGGAACTGAGGTGCAGTTTTCACTCAGACAATTCTAATAAGTGCAGGAAACACCCTGACAGGGTGATGCTAGAGGAAAAATGGGGGGAAGTCTTTTGTTCAGGGCTCCTGCTTTATCTGGCCTTGTAGTGGTCCAGTGCTAAGTTTAACTCTTTATCTGTATTTTGCGCTGAATACCAATAATTTGGGTAAACTTCATTGGAATAAATTCTAAAGAAGATGTTTTTCCTTTTATTACTGACAGTACACTGCATCACAAATAAAGAATCGGCTCTCACTATTGTCTTAATGAATTGTAAACAAATGTGTTTTCCTAAGGAGACACTGAAATATTCAGCAAAACTAATAAATGTTCATTATCTAAATACATATTCTAAAATATTTGTATATTTTGGCTAAAAATGTCATTAACATGTACAGAATAAGAGTTTCTTTCTTAAAATGTTTTCTTTGCTTTGGTCATCACCTGGACCGTTCTGTGACATTAGAAAAATGTCCATCTAACAAAGTCTTTCAGCCATAGATCTAAAAAAGAAAGTATTTTTGTTTTGAGATTGCTGCAGTAAGCAAGAACAAAATTTTGTTAGATCATTGACAGTCTTTTGAAAAAAATTTAACTCAAATATGTGTAATATCAGTGTGGTTAGATTATTACACTTGGATAAGACTTTAAAAATCAAGGTGTATACTCTAAAAACAAGAACACATACCAAGTACAATTGTCTTATCACAATAGTAGATTATCATACTTATTTTGAGTTGAATATCCTCAAAAGACATTAATAATCTAAAAGAATATAACCCTGATTAGCACATCAGTCTCAGAACTAAATCAAAAATACCTTTTTTAGATCTAGGTTTGCAGGACTTGTTTAGTTGGACCCTTTTTGTAGTGATCAGCCATCAATTATAATAATAATTGAACTTTAGTGATCTCACATTCTCTACCTCTGAATTTAACCCATCCACTTGGGGATGGGTTAAATTCAGAGTTGAGCAGTTGGGGGTTAGGGGTCTTACTCAGAGACCCAGAGTGGCAGTCTGTGGGAGTTGGGTTCAAACTCACAACCTCAGGATTCCAAGCTCTATGCCCTAACCACTAGGCCACCAATCCCCCATAAAAAGATCACCCTACCTCTCATAAGGGCTTTAAAAAATTAGGACAACTCTTGTTCGCCTGCACAGAAATCTTTAGTAAAAGGTGAAAGATTTATATGATCTGAAGAGAAACAAGAGTGCACAACGAGACAATCTAAAGAGCTGCAAAAATATTTGGCCAAACTAATAAATTTAGGATTTTCTTCATTATGAGGAAGTAAGATTTTGAAAATTTTATTCTAACTTCTCTTTAGAAATGTCATCAAAAATGATTTAAATGTTGTGTTTTCTACATAAAGTAGGAGAATGTTTGCTGTTTCTGCTCCGAGAAACTCCAATAATAGGCAAATGAGTAGGAGGTCTGAGTAAATCAAAGGTCAGAGACGTATTTAGGAGCCAAACTGTGACCATGAGGCGACGGCCACTCTGGGTATGATGAACTCATCACTCCTGCAGAGATCTTGTGGATTTCTCAGATTGTCCCTGGTTTGTGTCCCAGCAGTTGTTCCTGTGGACAGTTTCCTGCAGAGAGACCTGATCCAGGGTCAGATCTACTACCAGCACTCAGGAGACGAGACATTTGAGGACTCCTTTGACTTCACGCTCTCTGACCGCCACCAGCCGCCCAATCTGTCACAGACATACGTGAGTCAGACTTCCTGGGTTCTGGGACAGGAGTGGAGCTCCTCTGAGACCTGCTGTCCTGTCTCTGCAGACAGTGGTTGTCCAGGTGTTTCCGATGAAGGACCAGCTGCCGGTGGAGGGTCCTGGTACCGTCCGCTCTCTGACCGTCAGGGAGACGGATGTCGTCCACATCTCCAGGTCTCAGCTGCTCTTTATAGACAGAGAGAACCTGGATGCTGACCTGACCTACACGATCACGCAGTCTTGTTTCAGCCCGCTTCAGCCCGGGTAAAGAACCGCTGTATTGCAGGACTGGTCCATTAGCTTGTTTTGACCCGGTCCATTCATTCTGGCTTTTATCTTTCTTCCCCTTCAGATTGATGGATGCAGGACGTCTGTTCTACACAGACAGCACCAACTCTATGAAGAAGGACCACATGGTGCCGATACTGAGCTCCTTCTCTCAGGTAAGCAGATCCCATCAAATATTCACAGAATTCACATCAGAAACTGTTTCTAAAGGAACCAGAATGGGTCAAATCAGGTTCAAATAGGTGGACCCCTTCGTCTGTTGCAATTTGCATGTTTTCAAAACAAAAACAAGGCTTTGTTGGGCTACTGTATAAAACCTTGAACCCAACACCATTCCTGACATTTTGAATTGAAAAAGCTTCCTGGATGGGAAGCGAAACATCTTCAAACAAAGGTCCAACTTCATTAGTCTGTTTATCCGAACCAGAGAAAGTCCCATTCTGTTTATTCTGAAGTTCTTCTGATCATAGATTTTACAGACCTGGATGGACATATATCAGGTCTTTGTGTTCTTTAAAGCTGAGCTAAATCAGAACCAGGTCTTCAGGTTGTGGTTCTGATCACAGAACCCTCCTCCCTCTGTCCCCGCAGCATGCTGTGAACCACATGAAAGTGGCCTTCATGCCCCCAGTGGAGGACATAGGTCCAGACCCGCTGTTCGTCCAGTTCGTGTTCTCCGTCAGCGACCAACACGGCGGAACCGTCTCCGGTCTGGTCTTCAACATCACTGTGACGCCTGTGGACAACCTATCCCCTGAGGTCAGAGCTCCCCCTCACAGTTTGGTTTGTGTGGATCTTTTGGTTCACTGAATCTCGTCTTTCAGGCCTTCACCAACCTGCTGCGGGTGGAGGAGGGAGGGAGCGCCTTCGTGACAGAGGAGCACCTCCAGGTTCAGGACCGGGACAGCCCTGACGCAAAGCTGCGGGTGGAGGTTCAGAGGACGGCGCGTCACGGCCAGTTGGAGCTGCAGGGCGAAGTTCTGCTGAAGGGAGGCGAGTTGAGGCTGGCTGACCTGAGAGGACTGAGGCTCAGGTGAGTCACCTTCATCAGGGGTTGGTCTGGTCTGCCTCCAGCTGAGCAGAAAATCTGGATCAGACAGTGTTAGTGACTGAGGAAACCTGCAGCCTCAACCAGGTGTCAGACTGCTGCTGCCTCTTCTTCTACATTCTGCTGCTTTTCAGATACATCCATGACGATTCTGAAACCAGCGAAGACGAAGTTGGTCTGAGAGTGACAGACGGCCTGAACTCTGTGGACGTCCTGCTGCAGATCCAGGTCAGTCTGTAGGCGGTGACATCAGACTTACAGGTCTGCAGGTCAGATTGTCCACATGATCCAGGTATCAAAAATATTCGTCTTCTGTTAAAGTGATCTGGGAAACATCAGATGTTGGATGATCAGAAGGATGTTCTTCCTACATCTGGTAGGATTCATATACCCGAATCCAGTTTGTTCCAGAAAAATCGAAAGGTTTCCTGTCCAATATGGAAAGAAATGTGTTTCACATTTTCTGAAAGAAAATAAAAAGTTGGAAAAAAGCAAATAGTAGATCTGTAGAATTTATTTTTTTAAATTGAGCTTTGAAAACCTGAATAAGGAAAAAATTTAGAGAGTAATTTATAATGTGTATGTGAAAATTCAACACATTTTTATGGTTTGCATTATTATTTTTCATTACATTGTGCTTTTTGTATTGTATTTTGTAACAACAAAATTTCAAATGTTATCTTTACCTTTATTATTTTCTTTTTTTAACCCAAGATTTTGCCTTCATTTTATCGAGATTCTGTTTTTAAACAGAAATCAATTCAAAAACAAAATTCACTTTTTATTTTTTCAAAAGTTTTTATTACTTTTTAAATTCCATTTTAGAGATTTTAGTGAGACTTCTGTGTGGATGTTACAAATAGCATCTCTATTGTTCTGTACAGACTCGCCAGAAGTGGAGAGGATTAAATCTGTAAACTGGGATTTGAAAAAAAAAGCAATTTCTAAAAATCAGTCTCTCGAAAAAAAATAAAATAATAATAATAATAATAATAAATCTGAAAAATCTATGGAAATTTTTTTTATCAGAAATAAACATCCTGAGATTGAATCATATGATCAAAGATCCTGTTGTTGTGAGCAGCAGCACGCTGGAAGAAATCAAAATCAATAAGTAATTTTTTCTTGAAATAAGTGCA